TAGTTAACAAAGGAGAATACTTCTGAAACATCTCTTCCGACACATGTTTTGTGGAAGGAAGCCCGTGTGGGTAAGGATGGAATTGTCAAAGAAGATGTTCAAAAAGTTTTTGAGAAATGTGTAAGTATAACATTATTTCTTTAATTAAATCAAAAGTTTAGTAACATATAGTTAAGACAAATTTTCAATATTCATATGAATTTCAGGAGACTCTAACTCATTCTATATGTCCAGGTGAAGATAATGATTGCAGGAGCATACTTAGTCGAGCATTAGATGTTCGTGAGTATTCTGGTCGGGTGAGGGGTAAGGGATTTGGAATCACTCCAAAATCCTTGAAGATGAAAACACAAAAAGACTCTTAGAAATAAAGAACTGCAGGAAACCTTGGAAGCACTACAAGCTGAAGTTCGTGAATTGAGAAGGGAAAAAGAATTAAGAGAGCAAGCTTCAGATTTTAAAGCTACTAGTGACAAAGGTAGTATCTGTTGTAATTTTCAACCAAATATTCCAGAGGTAATTATATATATCATTAGGAAATTAAAGTAGCTTAATTTATTTAATTGAAATATATACACAATAACAATTTGAAATTTATGATTGGTTTTAGGGTATTTCACCTTGTCAACTCTACTTATCGTCACCGACTTATCAGATGGTTGGCAAGGGAAAAGCGCATAGCACTTTGGGAGAATTACTTCACACTAAACCGCTCCCCACTGGATGTTTGAAAGTATCAGTTGACATTGCTTTGAAGAAGGATGCGTTATTACCACATCCTGGTGATGTTTCAGATGCCACACTGGTGGGAGATGCAATAGGTTCGTTTGTTACATGGTCGTCAAGCCTCATTAGTGTAGATGATGAGGTATGCTTAAAACCATATATATGAACATTTGAGTATTCAGAGTTTTTACTCGCATTTTACGTACATTTATTTTTACATGGTTATGTTAATTAGACTCTAACAAAATGCAAAGCAAAAGAAAAGGGGATTCTGCGGCAAACCGGGTCAGTTGCATCAATAAAAGAGGTACATCACAATTATATGATATTTATGCATGAAACATGTTAATTCGTGATCTTATACTTCACATAACTAATTATATGATCTTTAGATTCATTCTAAAGAGAATGAAGATGTCGATAGGGGTAAGAATCCTGAAATTAGCAATATTTCCACACAAAAAAGGTTGTTTCTAAGAAGACCTCGGCTAAAAAAAACTACTTCCAAGTTTAGGTCGTGTCTTGGGACATTTTTAGAAATGTGTGATATTCCAGAAGGAAATACTCGTCTTCTACCTATGGAGTTTGGTATTTTTGGTTTTGAATATTCTGAAACAATTGGTATGGAGGATTTTGATCAAGTTTTACAACATACGCAATTAGGCCTCGGTGTTGTTAATACATACACAAGGTATATCCGATCTACTTTGTCTAATTAATTGATCAATTCATTTACTAATTTCAAATGTTAATGAGGTCTTTTATTTAAGGTTTTTGTATGAAAAATTGATGCGCCTGAGTGGATTGGAGCAAAGATTCGGTTTCTTATCTCCTTTCCATACCAACTTAGGGTTAATCATGCATAAACCAGATGAAGTCATGACATATGTACTCGAGCGCTTTATGGCCGACAAAGATACCAAAAAGTTATTCTTTTTAGCGCTTAATATCGGCAACAAGTTAAATTTTCATTCTAAATTTATCTATTATAATTTTCCATATTTTAACGTTGTGTAGAAAGTTTTCATCTCACATTTATTTAATCTTACAGTGAACATTGGTTGTTGGTCGCGATTAATCCTATCAGAGAAGTTGTATATTATCTGGATTCTTTACGCAATGATCCAAGTACATACCAAGATATGAAGAATATGGTTGATACGTAAGTGAGATTGTTCTAAATATTCGTGTGTATATTTATTTATTTATTTATGTGAATTATTCTAAATATGCATTTATGTTTTATTAGCATTATACAAGTTTTTCGAGCACAAAGAGGTGTTCAAGTACCAAAGAGTAAAGCCAAAAATATTACATGGATTATGGTGGAGGTATATTAATTAAGTATCACAATTTTGATTATATTAATAGTGATGATACTTGATAAAACATATGCCTTATCCATACTTTCTTTTCATGTGTAGTGTCTTCGGCAGCGTAATGAAGTAGATTGCGGTTTTTACATGTTGAGGTTTATGAGAGAAATCCTTCTTTTGGATCGAATAGAGATTCTATCTAAGGTATGGATTTCTAACTTAGGAGTTATTTTAATATTTAACACATATTTCTCATATAATTAAATAGTTTAAACTTAAAGATACTATGTTATATTATTATGTAGTACTTTATGAATTCAAGTGTGCTTATTACTCAAGTTCTCAGTTGGATGAACTTGAAGAGGATTTGTGTCAATATATTATTGAGACGAAAGTTATATAAGGTATATTGTAATCTTACTTTAATTGATGAGAATTTTGAGTATATTCAAGTGTTGAAATTTTGTTATTGTTTGTCATGTGGTAAATTATATATATTTTGTTTGTATCATGGTATGAATTACGATATTTTGGTGTTGTTTCAGGTTATATGTGCATATGTAGAAGATAAAGATGAGTAAATTTTGTAATGGTATATAACGATGTTGTTTTGGTGTTGTTTTTTTTTGTAAAAACATATATGTACAAGAGTAATAGTATATATAAGTACATTGGGGCAAATGTATAGTATCTTTTGGTATTATTTTTTATTGGAGGTGAAGCTCTAATATTAGTGAAAATATGGGGAAATTTGTAATGGTATATACAGGTGCAAAATATGGTGAAAACCTGGTGCAAATATGGTTAAAATTCGTGCTTATAAAATTGTATATAAAAACAACGCTTTTTTTCAAAAAGGTTATATAAAAAATTTTGTGGACATTAGACAGCGCTTTAAAAAACACTTTCTAAAGCCCCCTTTAGACAACGATTTTATTGTAAAAACGCTGCCTAAAGGGACTTTATTAAAAAAAAATTGTTTCAGAAAAAGCGCTGGCTAAAGGGGGCCTTTAGCAGCACTTTAAAAAAAGCGCTGCCTAAAGGGGGCTTTAGACAGCGCTTTAACATTAAAAGCGCTGCCTAAAGGGGGCTTTAGACAGCGCTCTAACATTAAAAGCGCTGCCTAAAAGGGCTTTTTATTATTATTATTTTTTTGTTTCAGAAAAAACACTGGCTAAAGGGGGCCTTTAGCAGCGCTTTAAAAGTAAAAGTGCTGGCTAAAGGGGGCCTTTAGTAGCGCTGGCTAAAGGAGGCCTTTAGCAGCGCTTTAAAAGTATAAGCACTGGCTAAAAGAGGCCTTTAATAGTGCTTTCAAAGTAAAATGGTTGCCTAAAGGGGGAATTTAGCAGCGCTTTTACTTTTAACAAAGCGTTGTCTTTACCTACAGCAGCGCTGGAATAGACAGCGCTTTAAAACGCTGTCCAAAGCAAAAAAAACGATGTCTAAAGTCTTGTTTGGCGTAGTGATTTTCTTGATGATGAATGCATGTGAACTTGTAATGATTATTGAGTGATGAACTTGAATTGAAGATGAAGCTTGCAACTTTGTGGTGTTTTTTGTAGAACCTTGAAAAAAATGGAGAGGAAAGGATGATTGTGGATTATGTCAAGTTCTTAAGGCTTCAAGTGAAGGTAAGCGACTACTTTTCTCCTTATTACTCCTGTCCGAATTTGTAATTAGTCTCACTTGCATTGTATGTTAAATGTGTTTGCTTATGTTTTTTAATTCTCACTTTACAAAGTTCTATTACTTATGATTCAATTTATGTGAATTTGCTGTCTTTAAATTTTTTCCCAGACTTCAAAAAATGTATGGCTTCGCCGCTGCCCTGGAACACTTGTTAGAATTTCCCTTTTACAAATACCAAGACTATTTCATGCAATCATTTAGGCTTATATGGTTTGTTCAGTACACATGATTTTAGTTTGGTTGTGCTTCCTTGCTATGAAAACTCAAAAACACCAAAACTATTCATGATGATATAGAAATCTATTGAACATGTATGACATTTTTGCAAAGTGCTTTCAGAATAGAGTGTTAAAATACCTAAGCCTATTTTACCTTAAGCCCAATTAGTTCAGTCGGGCCCATGTCTATTTTTTCTTCCCATTTTTGTTTTCTATTGTAACGGTCATATGATTTATATATAGCATTAGGGATGTTCAAATCCAAACCAATCCAAATAAAAAACCGAAAACCGATCTAAAAAACCGAAAATCGCAAAAAACCGAAATTTATTAGATGTGTTTGGATGTTATTTTATGAAAATCGATCCGTTCAGATCGGATTTCGGATTAATTTTTCAAAACCGATCCAAACCAAACCAAACTGCATACATATATTTTTATACTTATTTACTTTTTATTAGCATGATATGCTATGTGAAATTATTATTAGATGATAATAATTTTTTTAATAATAGTTATTAGCTTGGTATAATTTATTTATTTTTATTATTTCAATCATAATCAACCACTCTCATTTTGTAATATTAACTTTTAATATACTATATGTTATATATTATATCAAATCTATGATTTATTAGTAGTTTTATAATATTAATAAAAATATAATGTGTAATTTGGATATCCAAAAATCGACCCAAATTAAACCGCATAAAATTGGATCGGATCGGATTGGATTTTTTTAATATATCATCCAAAACCGAACCGAACCGCAAGTAAATTTATCTTTGGATCAGATGATTTTTTATCTTAAAACCGATCCAAACCGAACCGCGAACACCCCTATAACATATCTATCTAATGTAAATTAAGATGTGAAATTCAATAATATTTTTCCTTTTCCTTTTCCTTTTTTTATTCTGAATGGATAATGTCCACTTCCGCTGACACGTGTCAACATGGTATCAAGAGCTTTGAGATTGCTCTGTTATCTCTCTTCTCCACCCAATCGTTTTTCATCTCTTTATCCACTCACATCCTTTATTTATCCAGATTCCACCACACGCGTCCCATAACCATTCATTTTTCATTCATTTTTCATTCATTTTTCTTTCCTGTTTGTCTTTTACCACCACGTGCCAACCATTCATTCGAATTTTTGATCAATAGGTATACCCATCACATATTTTTTCTCTTCGTCTTCACTGTTTCTTTTCCTTTTTCGTTTTCTTGCTTCTCTTCCTCCCTACAACTTCCATCTTCTCCGTTTCTTTCGCTTTCTTTTTTGTTATTTTTTCTTCTTCTCCATTCTTTCTATTTCTCTCGTGCGTTCTTCATCACTCTCACCATTCCTGAGTTTGAGGAACAAACTTCTTCCCCTAGAAAAATTACCAAAATCCAAGAACAACAGCAACCAACGCCCCTCAAATCGCATCTTTCAACAAGATATGATGGATCCCTACTACATGAATTCGAGTGACAATCCTGGCTTAGCCATTGTCACTCTTCCTCTCAACAACTCCAATTTCCTTTCTTGGTCAAGATCTCTGAAATTGACACTCATGTCCAAGAAAAAATAATGGACTCCCACCCTATCTCAAAAAGGCTAACATGGCTCACACAACAGTTGAAGATTAAGACCTTGAAGACAGTTTCTCTACTCAAACTAATGATGCTCCAGACAACATTGGCTTCACTGTTGATCAACAACGTGCTTTATTGGCTTTACTTTAACAAACTAATGGTTCTTCTGCTCCAAACATACAACACCTTCACTCAAGTGGCACAACACACCCAGGTATCAACTCTCTGCACAATCTTAATTCCATTGCTCACTCTGAATGGTGTTAGACATAGGGGCTACTGACCACGCATGCCACCTCTAAGTATTTCTGCACCAGCCTTAATCCTATTAAACCTATTGAAGTTCGACTCCCTAGTGGAGCCACCATAACCACTACTGGCCTATTGTTCCACCCCTCACCTGAAACCAACAGTCCCATTGGCTCTACTATAGCTACCAGAATGTCTGTGAGAACCACCAAACCTCATTCTTACCTTAAAAACTACCACTACTCTCTCTTACAAGGTATCACATATTCTTCCATCTCTTCTACTTCAGGTATACCTTTTTACCCTCTAGCTGAATATATATCATATGATAATCTATTTGTTCCACATAAATTATTTAATTTAAATATGACTAATGCTACTGAACCTACATCCTAAACTATGCTATTACTAAACCCCATTGGCAACAACCCATAAAAAATGAGCTACAATATCTCAATGACACAAATACCTGAGACATCACTCCCCTTACCCCCAACAAAAAATCTATTGGTTGCGAATGGATCTTCGAACTCAAGTTTGCTCCCAATGATATCATTAATAGATATAAAGCTAGGTTAGTTATAAAAGGCTTCAACCAAACTGAAGAGCTTGACTACCTTGAAACATTCAGTCCTGTCGTCAAAATGACCATAATAAGATTATTACTTTCCATTGCAGCCTCCTCTAATTGGCATATTCACCAATTGGACATTAATACTGTCTTTCTTCATGGAGATCTTGAAGAAGAGGTCTATATGAAACCTTCTCCTAGCATGAATATTCATGTCCACATTGTCTACAAACTCAACAAGTCTATTTATGGATTCAAACAGGTCACCCATCAATGGAACCACAAGCTAACAACTACTTTATTTAACATGGGTTACTGTCATACCCTAGTTTGGCCCCAAGGTCATTCATTCATTGCATTTGCGTCATCGGTTGGTCATTCATGTATTTAGGTTGACCAAAGGTCAAATTAAATCATCATTTGCATCGTTTTAGAGTTAAAAAATATCAGATATATCATTTCATGTATTTTTATCTCTATACACTGCTTCATGCATTGCGCCAAGTTGACCATATTTCAATAACATTGATATTTCAGTTCTACAGGCAGATTGTTAAAAGCGATTCGATATTGTGCAAAAAATTAATAGGTAAAATATTTCGAGTTTTCATCTTTTGCTGATTGTTTTATGAATCTACGTTGCACGTAGATTATATCGGTGTGCTCGCTTTATTTTTTCGGTGCAGTTTGCAATCTCTTTCTTAATCGTCAGTGTCACTTCAACTGTGTATTTTTATTTTAGTTTTATTTTCAATTTTTGGTCATTTGCAGTCTTTTTTATTAAACTTTATGATCTGTAGTTTATTTTAATGTTTTCATTTATTTTTTTCGATTAATTAAATGTTCTTTTTTGTATCGTTTTTGATTATTTCATGTCTCTTTTTTATTCAGAAAAAATTAAAACAAAAATATTTTTGAATGTATTTATTTTTAATCTTTTAGTTTTTGTGATTATTTTTATCAAAAGGGCATTTTTGGTATTTATTAAAAATATAAAAAATCTATTTTTTATTGATATAAGAGATAAGAGTTTGTGAGGTTAAGAGGAGATGAGATAGCAGTTTGTGAGTTTTGGAAGAGGATATCACTTTGGAAAAAATGTATACTTTCTTCGTCAACTCCACCACACACCTTCGTCACACTCTCTCCGGTGCTAGTTTCAACACTTCCGAGCATCACCACTGGACAACATATTCCCCCGCTCAGCCCACTGCTCAACACAACGACACCTCATAACCTCATTTTTTTATGAGTTTAATAATTTCTTATCTTCATCACTATTTTGAATTGATTTAATTTCAGAAATGTGATTGAATTTGTGTTGATAATTTCTGGACTATTTATGTTAAATTGTGATGAAATTATGATGTTGTTATTATGTTCATTTATGTTAAATTTAGATGAAATCTTGATGTTGATACCACTTTCTTTGTGTTAAAATTGAATAATGGAGTTTTGATGTCAATATCAAGCTCTTTGTCTTAAATCTGAAGGAGTTTTGTAGCATCCATGTTAGCTCTAAATGTTGAATTTTGATGTAATTATTTATGTTATTCAGGTTTGATCTGAAGGAATTTTGATGGTATCTGTGTTAGCTCTGAGCTAAATCTGGATGAGGAATTTTGGTTGTAGTATTGAATTTATTCCCATTTAGTTTTGAACTTAGTTGAGATGATATTTTTCAGCCTCATTGTATGTTTTGTTGTTGTTGCTCGGATGCTCATAACTTGATAGAGGCCTGGTTGGAATTGTTGTTTTGCATGTTTTGAATTTGATTCAAGTGGTGCATGAGCTTAATGCTAATTGATTTTGGTTTTGATGAGTGTTTAATGTTTTGAAAACTGTTTTAACATCTTCGATTCATAAGCTTTATTCTCTTTTACATCCATGAGAATCACTTTGTTTTGGATATCAATGATGATTTAGTGATTGGATTTTCATTCTCTTTCATGGTTTATGTGTTGTTGTTTATTCATAGAAATTATAATGTGATTGAAGTTGTTTTGAGAACTTAAAAGCTTTCTCATCGACTTATGGTTGCAACTTGTTATTTACCACTTACTTTGTTAATTCATAATTTAATGTTAATTGCATTTTGGTCCATGATCGTTGCTTTATTATTCCATTCAAACATGTATGATGATTTTGATTGAGAAATTTAGTTACTTACATGAAATTAGAAGCAAATTTCCTTCGTGATTATTAAAGTTTCTTTTGTGTTGCAAACATGTTTATGATTTATGCATGCTTTCAAGATGACTCAAGTGCTCACTTCCTTTTTGTACACTTTGTTGCTTTTAATTAATTAATCAAATGTTGATTTAGTTAGTTGATTTTTTATCAAAAATTATTTAGTTTTGCTAATTAATTTTTCTTAACCTAATTAACTAAGTTAAACAATTCTTGATTAATTAATTAAACATTCACTTCATATTTCATTAATTCATTTAGCTCTGATACATGGTTCTAACCAATTTGGACTTGAGTTCTTATTTCATATGACACCTTTGGATTATTTCTATTATCGTGGTTTTGTCTGTCTGTGTAACTTTTTATCTGATGCAAGAATTCTTATCTGATATTTTGATGATCATTTGATGCTTTGAGTCTTATCTGATGTTTTTTACTTGTGATTTATTTTCACTTGATACTTGGTATACTCTTGGTTTATTCTTTACTTGTGACTTTAATCCAAAGCATGAGAGTTCTATGTTGACTTTATTATATCAAGTGTTGGCTTCTTATTTGGTTAGACCTTTTTTACCTTAGTTTTTACTTTATGCTTTAAGATAGTATTTTCCTCTCCTTCTCTTCTTTAATTTTCAAAACCTTCTCATCTTTTTCAAAACCTTCTTGTTTTTCTAACTCGAACCAGTTTCATAATAAACATTGACCTTGTCAAGTGACTTTTTCAAACTTCTTTTCTTAATCAAATGTCAATCCATCTAACGATATTCTAACTCTTTAAAAAGACTAAAGAGCTCAATCTCATTCAAACCTTTTTGTGCTCCGTGCACCTTTTTTCCTTTAAATATTTTTCAAGATTAGATGAGTCATCTATAGTCGAGATTTCATTATCCTATCCCCATGGTTATAAAGATGTCAAATTTTCCACTTGAGTACTAGAGGAATTTCCAAATCCTCCCTCGTGTTGATGAATTGTACCTCTTTCTCATACTTTGTGGGCAACTAGTTGAGATTTTTCTCCTAAAAATGACGACTTATCTCTTTAGTTAAAATCAATCAACACACAAAGTTTTTGTTCTTTTTATAAGAACTATGTGGTTTTGATTCTTAATTTCACTTGGTTGATACGATAGGCACAAGGCTCTCAAAGTCTTGTTGAATAATAAAAATCATTTATTTTCTCATCTCTCCAGTCATTTTTGCAAACAACCATTTTTTAGTCAAATACACAGATTTTCAAAGAGGTTCTTGCGGAATACCATAGATGTTTAGGGTATTAATACATTCCCTTTGCATAACCAACCCCATACTTTGATCTATATTTTCTTTTGGGTTTTATTTGCTCTTTTTCCATTTTCCATTAGAAACAATAAAGTGTGGTGGCGATTTTCACTTTGCGAGTTAAGTCAATCAATGGTTTAATTTCAACTTTTTACCGCTACAGAAAAATGGTAACTCTGCTGGGGAGAAATCTTTAAGTGGGTCGAGTCTATCTTGTTTATATGTGTGTTTGTTCTATATTGTTATTGTTTGCCTGTTTGTTTGGACTTTTCTAGTTTTTAGGGTGCTTAGTGGTCTTGACAAGGACAAGTCCTATACTCGGACTTAAGTTATACCTTATGATTAGGATGGGTGGTATATTCATGTTGGCTTTGAAGGAGTAGTTCTGAATAAGTTGGCATGAGACCCCCCCCCCCCCCCCCCCCCCCCCCTCTTAGTGGAGCTCCCTTTGACTATAATAATTGTTTACCGACTAATCAGGAAGACATTGTTGCTTTCGACCTGGGAGCCTGCGAAGCTGAGGACCTTAGAACCCTTTAACCCATCTTGACCTTTTAGGATGTAGTGCAGAGACGGTTAAAGAGTAGTCCTGAAAAAGTTGTCACACGATACTACACTCAGACGAGTTTCTCTTGATAATATTACTAATTACCGAGTAATCGAGACGTTAGTAATATCCAAAAGATGATTGACGAATCTGGGAATGTTTAGAACCCGGTTCTTGTACAGGTTATCCAAAACATTAGAGCATACCTTATGAGTTGGTTCTTACCCTGATTACCTTGACTTCATGCTCATGACTTGGAACCTGTGACCCTGTTACAGTGCTTTTCATTTCATACCATTGCATATCATTTTCATCCTCTGCATAATTCATGCATACATCTAGGTTGCCCGGGATCTCATTTCCATCTATTTCTTTCTTCCATAGTTGTCTGTCTACCATTAAGATGTTTCCTCAACACAAATACGTGACTAGAGCTAACATCAGACTGAGAATGGTAGACCAAGAACAACATAACATAGAAGTCGGAATAAAAATTGATGAGTTGAAGTCAGGCATGCCCAAACTTATTGAGATGATTCATGTTCTGATTTCTAGAGGAGAACCACCTCAAAGGACCATAATTTATGAAATCTCAATTGTTGTTGTTGACCCTTAACCTATCCAGCATCCAACACTACATGGCCAGAGTTTGGGTAACCTCAGAACTAGTCTCCACCTTTTACCACTACTTCTATGGTCGACCAATCTTCCAAACTAGTGTTCTAGGCTCCAATTTTCTTTGAACCTTAACATGTTCTTCATAATTCTGCCCAAGCTATTCAAGCTCCTTATGAGAACCCTTTCTTTGAGTACCAAGCTTCCGATGCCCGAAGTGAAAGCCAAGGAGATGTCGCTGAGTTTGAAAATGTCAAAGAAAAATATCAGACTATAGAGAAGAGACTCCGAGCTATGGAAGGCAACGAGTTCTTCAATGTTGATGCTGACAACATGTGCTTTTCTGATGAGTCATTTGGTCACGTACTTCGATAAGATGGCTGCTTACACCAACAATCAAAAGCTGCTCATCCATTGCTTCCAAGATAGTCTGAGTGGTGCTTCACTCAAGTGGTATATGGGACTTGAAAGGAATTGTATCTAGTGCTTTCAAGACTTAGATGATGCTTTCAAGAAACAATAAAAGTACAACCTTGACATGGCTCCTGACCATCATCAACTGAAAAATATGTCTCAAAATAAGAGAGAATCGTTCAAGGAGTATACTCAATGATGGAGAGAACAAACATCCCAACTTGAACCACCTCTAGCTGAGAAAGAGCTTACATGTATGTTTATGGATACCTTGTCCCCTTTCTTTTGGGAGAAGATGATTGGTAGTATGTCTTCCAGTTTCACAAACTTGGTGACTATTGGCCAAAGCCTGGAAGTAGGCATCAAGAATGGTAAAGTGTCTAAAACTACTGAATCTTCGAATGGTGCGAATAAATCCTTTGGGAATTTCTAGAAGAAGAAATAAGTCGAAGCTAATGTTGTCTCCACTGAGAGAAGAAGACCTCGCCATAGGCCTCAGTACTATGATTAACCACAAGTAGATTTTGTTGCTCCTGTGGTTATTGCTCAACCAGTTAAGGTTCCCCAACGTCAGGCTGTTGGACAAAATCAGAATCGCAATGGGACTCAGTTTGATTCTATCCTGATGTCTTATACTGAGTTTTATCCTGCAATGGTAGATAAAAGTTTGATTACAACTAGGCCTCTGACTCCTCGAAATCCTATTCTATCCAAATTCAAATATGACCTTCATTGTTAGTTTCATCAAGGAGCTGTCAGTCATGATTTAGAAAACTACTATGCCCTGAAGGCTAGAGTGCAAGAATTGGTGAGGGCAAAGATTCTCTCCTTCCTAGATAAAGGTCCTAATGTCAAAAATAATCCTTTTCCAGAGCATTACAAGTAAAGCTTCTATCAGAGTCAGACTACCTCCTAAAGCAAGTATTTCAGACAGGATAACTCATCCATGTTGTTGATTAGTCACTAGGCCATGTTTGTTTGCATTTTCCTTTAATTGTAGTGGTTGTTGCTTTCAAGCTTTGTTTGTACTTTCATGTTAATTTTAGTAAAATGAGCATTGCAATATTTTGATTCAATTCATTTTCATTTACTGCTTTTATTTTCAAAAAAAAATATATCTTCTATTTACTTTCTTTATCAAGCTTTTGTTTATGAAAAGATTGGAGGAATGATGATGAAAACGAGATACCCATAACTGTTGTTGGTATGCTTTCAAATAAAACTTTACTGATAATGTACATGCATTATTTCAACTCCCAAACACTGGATAAATAAGGAAGTTAATCTCTTGTCTATCCCTTTGAGCCTAGAAGTTGGAGTTTCTTTCTTATACAGAAAAACCCGCAATCATAACCTGGGGATGGGTAGTTCTCAGTTAATCGGGTTGTGCATTCAAATACAGGAGAAATCATTCAAGGCACCTTTCAATAAAGGTTGCCACTATAATCTTTCCTTCGCACACATCAAAGAAGTGTCAAAGATGTCCTCCAAATAAAGTGACATTGATGGTTCTCTGTAATCATTA